TGATATTAGATGATGTTTAAAACACTAAAGCTTTTTGATCCTAAAGGTTCAGAAGATGTTGGCCCTGAAGAAGCTGAAAAAGACTCTTCAAACGATGTTCACGACGGAACAGACGGTTCTTTGGTCTGTGCTGAACAGCAGCTCCAGTTTGAGGATCCTGATGAAGAGAAACAGGAGGAAGGTTTGAAGGAGGAGAGAGAAGGATCTGAAGGCGCTGAGATTAAAGGTAAAACATGCTGCCTAAAGGGGGGATTATACCACTGCTGATCTCATATCGACGTCGGAAAATTGGTTCAGTATGATTTAAAAAGTTAACATTGGAATAAATCGACCTGCTTTTAAATTCTCAGATACTCCAGAGCTCATAGAAACACTGCTTTTCTTTTTAAGTTTAACTCTTTGGTGAATAAGAAATGTTGTTCATATCTGATGTTATTGATAAATTTGGATTAAAATAAGTAACAAAAGCCTGGATGATTAATGCAGATCGAGTTAATATCACTCAGACACTCGAAGCTGCAGGATCAGTGAAACAGAGCCCTGATATTTTTAAGCCATAACTCAGTGACGTTCTCCTCTCTCCTCCACTGAATGTCTTTTAATAAAGATTTCCTGATTTTTCAGATATAACTGAAACAGATCTGCTGATAAATACAACCAGTAACTTTCATATTTTTATTTCATTTAAAAACGTCACAGCAGACATATTTTAGCTGAAATGAATGAATCATTCAAACCAGCATATTGTTTTAATTAAATGTTTTTCCGTTTTGATCAGTTCAGACTGCCAGAGTACCATCTAGTTTAAAGGTATAGTGGAGGATTTTCGCACATTTTTGGAAAGACCCGCTCTCTCCAATTAAAAAGAAATGCACATGCATAACCCTGTACCCACTCCCGAGAGGGAACGTCTATTAATCACGTGCGAGAGCTTGCACGAGCCATTCCTCCTCGTGCAAGGTCTGTTTAAAAGTTGCCGTCTGCATCGCTCACACAAGCTTACTTTCCAAAGATTTGCAATTTTTCCGGGTATGTCAGACTCGCCACCGGTAAACATATCACCAGAATGATTGACAGTTAGGAGGACCATTTATCCAGCCTGAAACAGAACAGAAATAAAGCTGCTGATTAAAGGACTTAAAATGATTTATTTCTTTGTTCTGCAGCAGAGAGCAAACAGAGAAGGGAGCCGGCCGGACCTGAAGCAAAGAGATCTAGATCTGTCTCTCCAACTGTTGCTGATAACTTCAGGCTGCCTCCATTTGACCCCGATCGTCCTCTTGGTGAGAAAACATTTGATACTATTTTTTTTTTTTGTTCCAGTCTGTTTAGTTCATGTTCTTTTGATTAAACCAGAAAAAGAAACCTTTTGCTCTGTTAGAACCTTACATCACTCCAGTCACAGGTACTTGTTATTTTGTGGTTTCTCTTTTAAATGATGGTTGTTTATAGACGGTCTTTAGCAAAGAAAAATAATAATCCTAGTATAACCGAACAGTATTTCATAAATGTACTGAAAACAGCATATAGAATATTTAAAAGGAACATTTTCAGTCAATAGCAATTTTACATAAATCATACAATATACTAGATTGTAAAGTTTTGTGTTTAAAGTATTACTGTCTGCTAGATCCTTATTTAACATACTGTGCAGCACTATGGTGAACAGCATATTTTATGATGTGTTGCAACATTAAAGTGCCATACATATTATAAATAGGGCAGGATTTAGTCACCAATCCACCATTTATAAATTCAAAGGTAATCTAAAGATCTTGTATCTAATGGAATAATGGAATTTAATAAAAAATAAAAATAAAACACTTATTCTATTCTATTCCAGAGAGTAAGAGATGAATGTAAATTTACCTTACATAAAGTAAATCAATATTAGATGTATTCATGTTGCTAATGTTAGAATGTGGAGAACTGCTCAAAGTTTAAGTCCTCTACATCCTGTCATTGTTTTAAAAAAAAAAAAAGCTTAGATTTTTTCTTGTATTATTTCTAAATTGTTAAATGAAGTGTAGCTTCATGTTTTGTAAGGCATACATTCATAAGCTTTTGCTTCAGCCTAATCCTTTCAGCCACAGTATGTAAACACCATTTGTTTTTATTTCTGAATAAACTCAACTAGTAGCTTAATGAGGTACACAGTTGCTTGGCTAGCAGTGCTGGTCTGTTCCCCTCAGGGTGGATCTAGCTCAGTCAAGCTTTCTGATGTTCTTTCTTGGCTGCCACATTTAGTGTATGTATGTGTGTATATATCTATCTATAGATATATATATCTATATATAGATAAAAAAACACCTATTTTGCATGCTCTCACATGTGTTTTATAGGCGTTCCCTCTTATGAGTGGGTACAGTGGTGTGCATGTGTATCTTCACAAAAATCCTCCACTATAGCTTTCATCATTTCTCTTTTCATGTCCTACTTGGTTTCTTTTTTTTTCCTGCTGTCCAACTTCATCATCTACGTCCGTCTGTGTCGATCTTTGTTTTAAGAAACTTCAACAGGTGCAGAAGGATATAGGAGAGTGAAACTTTTTATCTAAATCACCTTGAGAGAATGGATCACTTCTATTTCTGCATTGAACATGCTTTTTTGTACATGAGGAGTTTAGCAGCTTGTTTGGTTTTCTCTACAGGTCAGGAGTTCACTGTGCAGAAACTGGCACGTTTCTGTCAACTGTGCTCTGTTTTCTACCTGAATGAGAACGAGGATAAAGACCTGCACTGCTGCAGTGAGGCACACTACAACAATCTGCAGGTAAACAAACAGGAACCAGGAATCATCAGTGTCTCTGATTGTCTCTCGTTGACTCTTCCTTCTCTTCTGTCTTCAGAAATATTACCAGGAGCTTCAGCAGAACTCTACCAGATCCTGTGAAGAAAACTCCCATGATTGGGTTTCTGAATGAACTGGATAAAAAACATGATTTAAAGTACTTGGTTAAAGACGTCCCTGGATGAAAAACACTGCTTAGAGAGATTAAGGAAACAGATCCGCTGATTAAACTCGTCAATTTCAATATATTTGTTTCTTCTTGGTTTCATTCATAAAAAGTTTCTATCTGTAAATGTTCTTGCTTGTTTTGTGATGCNAGTTAGGAGGACCATTTATCCAGCCTGAAACAGAACAGAAATAAAGCTGCTGATTAAAGGACTTAAAATGATTTATTTCTTTGTTCTGCAGCAGAGAGCAAACAGAGAAGGGAGCCGGCCGGACCTGAAGCAAAGAGATCTAGATCTGTCTCTCCAACTGTTGCTGATAACTTCAGGCTGCCTCCATTTGACCCCGATCGTCCTCTTGGTGAGAAAACATTTGATACTATTTTTTTTTTTTGTTCCAGTCTGTTTAGTTCATGTTCTTTTGATTAAACCAGAAAAAGAAACCTTTTGCTCTGTTAGAACCTTACATCACTCCAGTCACAGGTACTTGTTATTTTGTGGTTTCTCTTTTAAATGATGGTTGTTTATAGACGGTCTTTAGCAAAGAAAAATAATAATCCTAGTATAACCGAACAGTATTTCATAAATGTACTGAAAACAGCATATAGAATATTTAAAAGGAACATTTTCAGTCAATAGCAATTTTACATAAATCATACAATATACTAGATTGTAAAGTTTTGTGTTTAAAGTATTACTGTCTGCTAGATCCTTATTTAACATACTGTGCAGCACTATGGTGAACAGCATATTTTATGATGTGTTGCAACATTAAAGTGCCATACATATTATAAATAGGGCAGGATTTAGTCACCAATCCACCATTTATAAATTCAAAGGTAATCTAAAGATCTTGTATCTAATGGAATAATGGAATTTAATAAAAAATAAAAATAAAACACTTATTCTATTCTATTCCAGAGAGTAAGAGATGAATGTAAATTTACCTTACATAAAGTAAATCAATATTAGATGTATTCATGTTGCTAATGTTAGAATGTGGAGAACTGCTCAAAGTTTAAGTCCTCTACATCCTGTCATTGTTTTAAAAAAAAAAAAAGCTTAGATTTTTTCTTGTATTATTTCTAAATTGTTAAATGAAGTGTAGCTTCATGTTTTGTAAGGCATACATTCATAAGCTTTTGCTTCAGCCTAATCCTTTCAGCCACAGTATGTAAACACCATTTGTTTTTATTTCTGAATAAACTCAACTAGTAGCTTAATGAGGTACACAGTTGCTTGGCTAGCAGTGCTGGTCTGTTCCCCTCAGGGTGGATCTAGCTCAGTCAAGCTTTCTGATGTTCTTTCTTGGCTGCCACATTTAGTGTATGTATGTGTGTATATATCTATCTATAGATATATATATCTATATATAGATAAAAAAACACCTATTTTGCATGCTCTCACATGTGTTTTATAGGCGTTCCCTCTTATGAGTGGGTACAGTGGTGTGCATGTGTATCTTCACAAAAATCCTCCACTATAGCTTTCATCATTTCTCTTTTCATGTCCTACTTGGTTTCTTTTTTTTTCCTGCTGTCCAACTTCATCATCTACGTCCGTCTGTGTCGATCTTTGTTTTAAGAAACTTCAACAGGTGCAGAAGGATATAGGAGAGTGAAACTTTTTATCTAAATCACCTTGAGAGAATGGATCACTTCTATTTCTGCATTGAACATGCTTTTTTGTACATGAGGAGTTTAGCAGCTTGTTTGGTTTTCTCTACAGGTCAGGAGTTCACTGTGCAGAAACTGGCACGTTTCTGTCAACTGTGCTCTGTTTTCTACCTGAATGAGAACGAGGATAAAGACCTGCACTGCTGCAGTGAGGCACACTACAACAATCTGCAGGTAAACAAACAGGAACCAGGAATCATCAGTGTCTCTGATTGTCTCTCGTTGACTCTTCCTTCTCTTCTGTCTTCAGAAATATTACCAGGAGCTTCAGCAGAACTCTACCAGATCCTGTGAAGAAAACTCCCATGATTGGGTTTCTGAATGAACTGGATAAAAAACATGATTTAAAGTACTTGGTTAAAGACGTCCCTGGATGAAAAACACTGCTTAGAGAGATTAAGGAAACAGATCCGCTGATTAAACTCGTCAATTTCAATATATTTGTTTCTTCTTGGTTTCATTCATAAAAAGTTTCTATCTGTAAATGTTCTTGCTTGTTTTGTGATGCTTCCTTGAAAACTACCAGCATTTTATTGCATCTTGAATTATCTGTTTTATATCTGAGAGGTTTGAATAATAGAAGTGTTATTTGATGGAAAGTTTTAATGGAACACTTTGGTACCGACTGAACGGCTTCACAGTTTAGACCTACAGCTTCAGTTATTTTAATTTTTGCTATTTATTCATCAATAAAAGAAAAATAAATTGTTGGGCAAATTAAATCAAGCTATTGCCCTGACCATGATCCATCCCCTCAATATGGCAGCTTTTTTAGTTCAACTTTTATTCATTTTAATCCCCATCAGCTACAGATTAGCACTGCTGCTACTTTCCCAGAGTTCATACGAGGAATAAAATACAAAAATGCTGAAAACTTAAAGGTGCAGTTTTCACCATGTGGTTTAAAGATCTCCCTACAGCTGCTTAGCAAGCAGTGAAATAGAACTGGAAGTGAAACTAAAATGTTCCCTGCAACAGTGAGAGATCAATGAATAACCTCAACCAATCACAAGAGTTCTACACGATTTGTGTACGACATGAACGAATTGACCCCCCAATGCTCGTGCAGTACGCCATGGCTGGAAACTAGCCAGTTTTTCATGTACATAAACCAAACTGCAGGCATCAGGATAATAAAAGCGATCATGTTTTTCTGCATTTTAATTAAGGTGTTAAACTGTTTCAGAGGAGTGATCATAGCGCTCTGCATCATCACTGCTGCTCTAGACGCGCTGCAGACAGCACGTGC